GGTGTGCATGTGTCTTTATAAGAGAATGATTTACAATCCTTTGGGTATATACCCAGTAATGAGATTGCTGGGTCAGATGGAATTTCTATTTCCGGATCCTTGAGGAATCACCACACTGTCTTATTTATAGTAAAATTATAGATCCAGCATGTATGCCTACTATTACTGCTACTGTTATTCAAATGTCCCCAGATGAACCAATAAATTCAAAGCTAAATCAATAAAAATGTAGCTAAAAATGGAAGAGTAAACGTACACAAATAGATAAGCAAACATTGGGAAGAATGAGAGAAAAAAGGGGGGGACGTGCCAAACAGATATTAAGATATACTATCAATCCATACTGTAGTAATTAACAGGACAATTGTGACACAAGAAGAGACACAATGAAATAAACCAGTGGGATGAAATTGAACCTAAGAGACAGACTCAAATATAAATGGGAACTTGATAAACTCCATGTGGTACCAAGAGTCAAGGAAGTGTCTCCTGCTACGCCTCTCGGAGAAGAGATTCTTTCATCTCCTCTTGGAAACCTCTGAATGTAAAAATGTCAATGGAGGAAGAGTCTTTATACCCAATATGGACTCATAATGTGGAGGGAGAAATAAAACAACAACAACTGAGTCTTTGCATAGTCCATATACAGAAGAGATGCAGGTAGATTAAAGATCTAGGTATGAAAGATCTAGGTGATAGAGAGAAGAGCACCTCTTTGGAACCTTGGGAGTGGGAAGGACTTCTTAAACAATACTCAATGGCACAACTCGTTTTTTGTCATTTAATCAAGGAAGAACACCAGTTGACAGTTAACTGACAGTGATAAATTGGGAGGCAATGGTTTCAGTGACTGAGTAGGGCACAGAGCTAATATTTGGACCATACGAATTATTGCAGCAAATCAACAAGACAGGAATCCTACTAGAAAAATGGGCAGAGAATATGCTGATAAACTATTTATAGCATGGGAAATCTAAGAGGTATAAGTATATAAAGAGATGCTCCAACTCATTGGTTATGAGAGAAATCCAACTTAAAAACAGCAACAAGACACCAGCTCATGCTGACAAGACTGGCAAAAACTCTGCCTTTTGGAGAACAGCACATATTAGGTATACCCAGCCATAGGAACTCTTTCACCTGCTGGTGGGTGTGTAGACTGGTCCAAGCCACTCTAAAAGGCAATCTGGCACCACTTTGTGAAATTAAGAGTATATGTTCCCTGTGATTCATAACCCCACTCTTCTATCCCAGAAAATTTCTACCCCAGGCCTATAAGGGAACAAAGATAAGGAAATTTATCACAGTATTGTTTGGGGTGGTGAAAAATAGAAGTGACTTAGATGTGCATAACTGGAAAATAAAGAAGTCAAATGTGGCGGATACACACGGGGATATTCTGAACCAATTACAAAAGCAAAGAACTAGATATATATTCAGCAGCATGGCTAGATCCTAAGAACACAGTTGAAAGAAAAAAGTTAGAAATGATGAAATCTATAGTACATCCATAGATTATGGTAAATCTATAGTGCCATATTACATATCCATGAAAAAATACATATATGCACAAACATTTCCATGTATTTTACAAGTTCAAGGCTAAATATCATATTAGAGAAGTTGCCTCTGGGGAAAGGCAATGAGAGTGGGGAATTATGACAAAAGAGAATGAATAAAAAAACAAGAAAAGGGTCATGTAGGTTTTGATCCTGTGCCATGAACTCATGGGTTATGATTAACTCAGCTTCCTGAACATGGAAAGGACTGATAAACCTGCAATGGTTGGGTAATCTTCAACTTCTAAATCAATGAAGGTCAGCTCTAAGTTTGCCAAGTACACAATTTCTCATCTTGCGACATGGTGCCCACCTCTGTGCAGCTTTAAAAAATACCTCAGTGGTCTACAAACTGACTGTGCATGCTTCTTCAAGACATGTCATTTTTTCCTCAATTTCCTTAGCACCCCGCACCACCCTCATTATAGCAACACATTGCATTCCATCCAAACTGAACAAAATGATAGCTTAAAAATCATCTGCAAAATTTATGGCACAAAAAATCTATTTTTATTTTAGTGCATAAATCATTTTTTTCTTTTTGCCAGAATAGTTTTTTTTTAAAGAAGCAATTAGCTTTTCTTCTCTGAGATAGTAGACAATTAAGTGTGCTCTCCTCCCAACCTGGATCTGAGGCACTTTTATGTGAAGTAGGATTAAAAATTCCATTTCTGTACAATCACTATGGAGAACAGTTTGGCAGTTCCTCAAAAAACCGAAAATAGAGCTACTATATGATCCAGTGATCCCACTGCTGGGTATATACCCAGAATAAGGGAAATCAGTGTATCAAAGAGCTGTCTGCTCTCTGTTTGTTGCAGCACTGTTCACAATAGCGAAGATTTGGAAGCAACCCAAGTGTCCATTAACATGATTTTTTAAAAAATGTGGTACTTTTATACAAAATAAAGCACTATTCAGCCATAAAAAAGAACGAGATCCTGTCATTTGCAATAACATGGACAGAGCTGGAGGTCATTAGGTCAAATGAAATAAGCCAGGCGCAGAAAGCCAAACATCGCAGGTTCTCACTCATATGTGGGGTCTAAAAATCAAAACAATTTGATTCATGGAGCTAGAGAGTAGAGGGATAATTACCAGAGGCAGGGAAGGGTAGTGGGGGCCTGGAGGGAAGACAGAAATTATAAATGGGTAAACAAAAAATAGGAAGAATGAATAAGATCTAGTATTTGATAGTGTAACAGGGCGACTATAGTCAAAATAATTTAAGTGTACATTTAAAAATACTTGAAAAGTATAACTGGGTTGTTTGTAACACAAAAGATAAATGCTTGAGGGATGGATACCCCATTTTCAATGATGTGACTATGACACATTGCATGTCTTTATCAAAATATTGCACATAAAGGCATATATCTACTATGTTCCCACAAAAATTAAAAATTAAAAAAATTCAATTTTTAACTGATATAGAGAGAAGGAAAAAACGCTATCACTTTGTTGTGCTAAAAATCATGTTGTCCTGAATGCAAACTGGAAAGAAAAAGTATTTGAGAGCCAGTGCAGCACGTTGGTATTGGGTGAAACATAGTTTGAATTTGGGCCATTTGTTTAAACTTTCTGGGCCTCAGTTTCTGTGCCTATTAAGAGAGAATGCATAGTTCATGGGATTTTTGAGAGGAAGAAGTGAAACTATGCATGTGGAGAGCTTGGCACAGTGTGTAAGATAGAGTGTGCATGCAAATAAATAGATAACATTGTTTGCTTTTCTTTATTGCATGCCTGTAATATCTTAGGGGCTGTCACATTCATTGCCCTCAAGCAGCATCAAGGGATGACATGATGTTTGTAAGAAAATCCTGAGGCTGAGGAATACAACACATTTTATGTCTACTACAGTAGAAAAATACAGGAGTCAGATAAAGAATACAGATTCTCCTGAGGATGGAAATCAAGGTCTTGGCCTTCGATATTTAACAACATTGAGCTTCCAACTTACTATGGAAAATATTCATCAATGGTTCCTTTTGGATAGAAATTACGCTTGTTATGTCTGTATTCTTAGCGGACAGTAGAAAGCCTGGCACATCATAGAGGCTTAAGGAATCTTAAACATCCATTAAAATTCTCATTTTAAAGACAAAAACAAAACAAACAAACAAACAAAAAAACTAAGGCATGGACTTGACCAAAGCTACACAGCTATCGGTGGTAGAACCAAAAGTTAAACCACTTGTTTTGAATCCTCAATCTGAGTTTTTATGTTTTTTTTTTTAATTTTTTTTCTTTTTTGACAGATCCTTGGTCAAAGATCAGTGGGAGGAGAGGGATGGGTTTCTAGCAACCTTTATTATTGACTTATTTTCTTACAGCCTATTAATTTATCTTGAGAAAATACTAAGCGGCACTCAAGGCTTGCCCTGAGTTTTCACATCCTTTCGGAACTTCTGAACCTCCTTTCCAGCATTCTTTCATACTTTGTTTTACCTGCTGGTCACTAAAGGCTCACGTCAGTCTCATCCTCTGAAAAGTGTGGTTAATGACATCTGAAGACCACTGGCTAACACCCACCAGCTCACTCCTAGGCCACCCCCCACTTTTCTTTCTTCAAAAGACTTATCCCTGCCTAAACTTATTTATGAGTTTATTTTCTGTGTGCCCTCCAGAATGGTAGCATGGCTGGGGAGGCAGAGTCTATTTTGTTAATTGCTGTATTACCAAAGACTAGAACACAACCAAGCACACAGTACAGGTCTCAGTAATTATTTGTTGTCAAATTTATATGGACATGTTTTTAAACAATATCTTCGCCGGGCGCGGTGGCTCAAGCCTGTAATCCCAGCACTTTGGGAGGCCGAGGCGGGTGGATCACAAGGTCAAGAGATCGAGACCATCCTGGTCAACATGGTGAAACCCCATCTCTACTAAAACTACAAAAAATTAGCTGGGCATGGTGGCGCGTGCCTGTAGTCCCAGCTACTCAGGAGGCTGAGGCAGGAGAATTGCCTGAACCCAGGAGGCGGAGGTTGCGGTGAGCCGAGATCGCGCCATTGCACTCCAGCCTGGGTAACAAGAGCGAAACTCCGTCTCAAAAAAAACAAACAAACAAACAAAAAAAACCCAATATCTTCCATTTACTGAATGTTTATGCAGAAGAACGGTACTAAATTTTAATGCATTTCTTTATTCCTGTTCTTAAAATCTTCCAGCAACGTTGCTCTACCACCTTCTTTTCGAGCTTCAGCAGCAGCTCTGTGAATAGCTGAACACCAGACTGGATTTAAACCCAGATCGCTCTTACATTTGCTCTTCACCTGCTGTGGTCGCCGTTCAAGGGCCCTCTAGCTGTAGTTTTCTGAAATCAGCGCACAGCAACGCAGTGTGCTTGGAGGTTAACAGAAAGGAAAATAACAACAAAATCTCAAAGAGAATCCTGACTGTTTCGTGGGGAGGGGGGGGCTGGGGGGGGGCAGGTGAAGGGGATTATTCATAGAATTGTTATACCAGAGGGTCGCAGGCTTATTCCAATTGCAGAGAACCCACTTTCCAGGATTCTGAGAGTCCCGGAAGTGCCTAAACCTGCCCTTGGGTTCTTCCCATCACCCAGGGCGGGCAGCCAAGTGGTGCCTCCCGCGTCTGCTACCCCCTCCCTCGGCCCCTCCCCTCCGGCCCGTCCAGGGCAGGTGACCTGGAGGATCAGGCAGGCTGCCCTGGCCTCCTGCGTCAGGACAACGCCCACCAGGGGCGTTACTGTGCCGGATGCGCGGCGCAAAAGACACCCTTTGTAACTCTCCTCTCCACCCTAATGCCAGGTTAAAACACTCAGCCCCACGTGCTGTTTGCAAACCTGCCTGAGGCCCTAAAAAGCCAGAGACCTCACTCCCGGGGAGCCAGCATGTCCACAGCAGTCCTGGAAAACCGAGGCTTGGGCAGGAAACTCTCTGACTTTGGACAGGTGAGCCACAGCACTCTGAGCTGCTCAGGTAGGGGAGTTTGGGCCTCCAGAGAAAGAGGTCTGAAGTCTGCTGGTGCTTCCTAGTTTCATGAGCTCAGTAAGAAGTCTGAATTCACTGGAAGCTCATGAGAATGTCCAGGAAGTCAACAGACAAATGTCCTCAACAATGGTTTCTAAGTGGGAGAACATCTGTCCTGTGTGGCTTTCACAGGAATGAGTGAGCGTTGCTTTAAGGGGCTGAGGATCTGGCCTCCAGAACTGCGACCAATTAGCTGTGTGTCTTCGGACAAGTTACTGTCCCTTTCTGTTGTCTGTTTACTCTTCTGTACACCAAAGGGGCTGGTCCCTAATGATCTGGGGTTGAAGATGGGGTCCTCTAGTTCTCTTCCGTAATATTTATAAAGTAATCTCAGCCAGGTATCAAAATGGCAGAATTATAACTATCCTCCTTTCACTTTGGGAAGACGATGAGGCATGAAGAGAATTTAGGCAGAAACTTACTCAGACCCGGGGAGGCAGGAACTAAGCAGAGGAAAATGACCAAGAGTTAGCCCTGGGTGTGGAATATGAAAGAACCCTAAATGTGACTTGGAAATAATGGCCAAGGTATATTCCATTCTCCAGGATTTGTTGGCATTTTCTTGAGGTGAACAATTGCAGAATACATTCATTAATGTACCCTATATATTACCCAAGGCAGGAAGCCTACTCCTGGACTCTGAGAGTCCGTAGTAAAGCCCAGGCCTGGGAGGTAATGTGAGTCTGCAGGCCCTGTCATCTGCAGGATTAGGGAGAAGAGTTGTCAGGAGAGAACAGGAGGTAGCTGTTAAACTGTTAATGTAACTAGAAAGACTGCAGAACTTTGGACTGATTTTTTTTAATCCTTAAAAAAAAAGGTGCATGGCTCTCAGGAGACAGAACTTACCTTGCAGAGGAACAGCTTGAGAATCAGAGTGATCCCAGAAGAGATCCTGGCTTTATCTTCCACGTAGTTTCAGGACTGCTGGCAATAGGGTCCCCACAGCTGTGGGAAGGGATTAGGGGCAGGGATTTGGTCAGGAAAATATGGGGCTTTAAAGTTCTTTATAAAGCACTTCATAGCTTGAGAATCCACAAATAGTTTTAATATCAACCAAAAGTAGTGTCTTGTTATAGAGTAAATGTGAATTTGCAGACACATTTAGGGAAAAGTTATAATTCACAAAAAATTAGGCTGTATATTTATCAATGGTTCCAACATTTTCTGTGGTTAAGAATCACCTGAGATGGTTTTGAAATGGCAGATTGTAAGACAACCTGATTTAATAGGTTTAGGTAAAGCCCAGGGAACTACATTATAAGAAGGAATCACCAGGAAATTCTGGAGTTGAGATCCAAGGAACACTCATTGAGAAACACTGATTTAGAAAGCGTATGGAGAGAACGGAGCAAGTGAAGGAGGATCAGCACGGTGAAATGTAGGCTGTTAGGAGTGGTATTGACTAACTGCTGACTGCACCAGAGCAAATCTTTGACTTTGCAAGAAACAGAGAACTGAATTCCCACATTATGTTCATAGCAAGGGGAATTATATAGAACACCTGATAATTAGGAACTTGAGTTCTTGACCAGCCTCCACTACCTTTGTGACCTCAGGTGAGTGATTTTCTCCCTTTGCCTCTAGGTTTTGCTTATCTCTCATGTGAGGGAGTTTAACTAGGTGAGCACTAAGGACAAATCAATCTGTGTGAGTCAGTTATTATTTCCACACAGCATCAAATGCCAAGTGGAAAGCATAAAGAAGTGATTGTGCACTTGGGATGAGGGGCACAAACATTTCCTAAGCCTTTAAGGAAGGGTGAGATCTTGGAAAGAGAAATTTGGTGATTTACTCTAATGAAGAGTTAAAAAGGCAAGAAAGAAAGCGGCTTGGCTGGAAAGGAGGTCCCTGTAGAGGGGCCTCTGGAGGTGAGGTTTCACAGAGACTGCCAAATATCAGCAAGAAGCACTTTATCCTGATGGTCATGGGGAGGGAGACTTTGAGGGATTATAAGTAGAAGAAGGAAACAAGAAAAATTGTCTTAGGTTAGATCAATGCACGCCACTGAGAAATAGTTTCAGGTGATGGCAGTGGGAACAAAAAAGGGCCTGGCACCCAGAGACATTTCTGGAGAAGATGAGATCAGACTTGGCATTTGGCTGAACGCACACTGGAGTAGGGTAGGGGTGACTGAATTTCGAGCCCAGGTACATTCAAGTCTGAATTGCCCTAGTCAAAGGTGGCATCTGTTGATGTGTATCANCTTACTTTTCTCGGAAGCCAGCAGGAGAAAAGAGTGTTGCCAAGTGAGCTAGAAACAGAAAAATCTTTTGTCATTTCTATGAAACTGGAAAGAACAAGGCTCAGTGTTCTTTGGTAGGTAGAACACTGAAGTCAGGGACTCTTCTGTACCTCTCCGGCAGGGTTTAAAAGGGGGAAGTAGTATAGAGGCTGTGAGAGATTGTGATTCATGGACAGTATGCAGAGATCAAATAACCTGGGTTCAGATCCTGGCTCCACTGCTGTGTAACTATAGGCAAGTTACTTAACCTCTCTCAGCCTCAATTTTGTCATCAATAAAAGGGGGCACTTGGTGCATAATAAAACCTACCTCTTACATTGTTGCCAAAAGTACATGAGATAATACAAATCAAGTGCTTATTATAATATCTGGAAATTATAGGCTCTAAATAAATGGTACATTAATAGTTTTTTAGAAAGATAACATTGTGATCAAAATAGAGATATTTAACAGTTTAGTCTTCCATTTCATTTGAAGCTCGCTATAATCACTCTTGCAGGTAAATATGGTTTTGCCTTCATACCTCAGTTTCATGGGATATTTGGGGAAAAATCTGAATTTTCTGAATTGAAAGAATTTTTTTGCTAAGGGTCATCAGTATTCATGCAGGGCTTGTTATTCTGAGTCACTAAGAGACTCCTAACACAGCCTTCTCTCATTGAGATGATGTAACATCCATTCCATTAATTTCATTAACTTGCTTACAAGAGAGTAATTGTTCTGCAAATTTTTTTCTTCCCGGTTTTAGGTACCTGCTGTTTATTGTAGACACATGTAGAATTTTATATATTATTTTCAAACTTAGGCTAATGTTTTAGCAAACTCTGGAATGTCAATCCTAACCCCACCTTTGTTTTCTGTCACATGCAGGTAGTAAGTGCTAGATCCTGGACATTCTTTGAGATTTAGTTTAAGACTAAATTTATCTTCTGATAGGTTATTTGTGTACTTTCATGAATTTTGTGACTCTTTCTCAACGATTGGCTATTTCAGATCTCAGCATATGGGAACAAGTTAATACTTGCTGAGATCTTTGCCAAAAGTCAAGAGGTCATTTTTGTGTATTTATAATATTTCCTTCATCTTTATATATTTATCAATATTCTATTAAAACTGATCTTTTCCTTTTTTCATTATCTGAATACTGTTTTGACAGAGCTTGTTTTTAGCGTGATTTTACAGATGAGAAAACTAAGAAAGCTGAGTGATTTGCCCAAAGTAGTCCACTTGGAAAATGAAAGAGAGAGGATTCCAACCCAGGTCTTAGGACTCAAATGCCTGTGCATGTTCTATTTTTAGTACTTTTCATACTGTGTTTCTCAATGTCTTTCTGGGACATTTTATAAACTATATTATATCACCTCTAAGGATCTTTTGATTTGTTATGTATGTGTCTATTAAGTTAAATTGTGAGCTCCTAAAAGATAAAGCATTGTCTTATTCGTCTTTAAATTTCTCAGAGCCTGAATAGTGCCTGGAACTTCGTAGGTGCTCATTAAAAGATATTGAATTTACAGGATTGAATGGTAACATCAATGAATAATGATGTTATTATTATTCCTTAAGTTGATAACTGACCCAGTAGCATCATTGAACATTTAATTGCCCTGGACTTACTTATTTTCCACCACACTACATATTTCTATATAGAATATATATAGCTCTTTGTATTGCAAGATGTAACTAGAAGAAAGTGTTCATGTTTGCTTTGTTCATGGAGGTTTAATAGGAATGAATTGCTGAACTGTGGAAAATGTTTTAACCAAATGCATCTTATCCTGTAGGAAACAAGCTATATTGAAGACAACTCCACTCAAAATGGTGCTATATCACTGATCTTCTCACTCAAAGAAGAAGTTGGTGCATTGGCCAAAGTATTGCGGTTATTTGAGGTCAGTGCTTCATTCGTGTTTGCTTGGATAATGGCACAGCAAACTTCCATGTTATTTTCTAGTTAGATGCAATGAAAAGAATGCAGGATCTGGAACAGGAAGATTTGATTTTCAGCTCAGGTTCTTACCTTAATCAACTGTGTGACCTTACCTAAGTCATTCAATCTCTCTGAGCTTCAGTTTTTCCATTCACAATATAGTGCTGATAATATAATGGACTTTGCTTATCAAACACAAATTCCAAGGTCATTATTAAGAATTTCAAGAAAGTTGCAAAGAACATGAAACCCCAAGTGTGATTCCTGTAGGATGACACTGGATGCACATCCCAGGAGCTGGCCCTGGCTTCAGACCTCTTTTATCAAGCTTTCCTTGAATTACAATCTTCTCAGTTTCCCAAAGCACTTCTTACTTTTAACTGCAGCACTTCTTTGCTTGCTCAGTGTATACATTTATGTCTAGCCCTGAGGATGGTTTCTCCAAGAAGAGAAACTTGCCTCATCATCTTTACATCCTCAACAGAACCTGAGTTTTATATACCTTGTGTTCAATTAAGAATGAAATTCAATCTAAAGAAAAAGAAGTTTTTAACTTAATAAGTTCTTTTTAAGTAAAAAAAAAATGTTTTAAAAGTCTCTTTTCACTTTTTGAGCCAATTAATTTTTTTTTTTTTTTTGAGACAGTCTTACTGTCACTCAGGCTGGAACGTGGTGGTGTGATTTCAGCTCACTGCAACCTCCACCTCCCAGGTTTGAGCAATTCTCATGCCTTAGCCTCCTGAGTAGCTGGGACTACAGGCACATGCCACGATGCCCGGCAAATTTTCCTGTTTTTAATAGAGACAGGGTTTTGTCATATTGCCCAAGCTGATCTGGAACTCCTGGGCTCAAGTGATGGGCCTGCCTTGGCCTCCCAAAGTGCTGGGATTATAGGTGTGGGCTACCAGGCCTGGCTAAAGCCAATTAATTTTTACCCTGAGTTTTTAAATATAATTAAACCTTGTGACTGAATATATGAATAAATAGAGAAAAGGCAGATTTCTCATCTAGAATTCCAAATAATTTAAATGGTGGGTTTTGTATAGTGGCTTTTTTTTCCAAAAAGTACCCTATGGAAGGGGGAAAAGAGTCTCTTTACAGTGGTGAGATGTGACAAAGACACCTCAGCCATGTGACCAAAATCAGCATTATCAAAAAAGAAACTGAATATTAAAACAAACCTTTCCTTAACAGTAAAAAAGAAAAAAAAAAAACAAAAAACTAAAAATTAACATCATGATTGATGTCATGTTGGTAGAATGAATCCTTGGCAGGATGAAAATGATACATTGCCCCTGTGGTCTTCCTCCCCAAAACCCATAACCTCACTCTAGCCATGAGAGAAAAAACCAGATGAATCCGAATTGAGGAACATTATCCAAAATATATGACCAGTACTCCTTAAAACTCTCAGGTCATCAGACACAAGTACTGTCTGAGCAATTGTCACAATGAGAGGAGCCTAAAGAGACGTGAAGGCGAGGTGTGACATGGTATCTTGAATGGGATCCCAGAACAGACACAAGACATGAGATATAAGCTAATGAAATCTGAATAAAGCATGGTCTTTAGTTTCTGACCATGCTTTATTCAGATTTCATTAGCTTATATCTCATGTCTTGTGCATCAATATTGGTTCATGAATTGTAACCTATGTTCCCCACTAATGTAAGATGTTCATAATGGGGGAGACTGGGTCCAGGTTACGTGGGAATTCTCTGTGCTATCGTTTCTATTTTTTCATAAATCAAAATTATTCTTCAAAAATTGCCTTTAAAAATTAAGCCTAGGGGAGGAGAATGTGTCTGAGTGAGAGCAAGCAATGAGTGTAGAGAAGAGAGAGCATTTTCCAAATATCAAACTATTCATGAGAAAGAATATATCTCTAAAATGCACCTTTGTAACTTTTTAGCTGTTGTATTAGATAATCGGCATTTTCTCCTTGAGAGGTTGCCCCTTAAGCCTAAGACAGAGTTAATAGATTAAATAATAGTAAATGAGCAGAATGTTTTCAACCTAATAAATAAACCACAAGTAACTAAATTACCAGAACTGAATGAAATGCACTCAAGACATGTGTGTTTGTGTGGGGGCGGGGGTGGGAGAAGGGGGTGCATGCATGTGTTTAAACTCTAGGTGAACTCTCTGAAGCATTATCCAGAATCTCAACTGCACAGGTCAGTAAGTGATGTTACTGCACCCATTTTACGGAAGAGAAAACAGAGGGCACTGTATTGGGCACTGAAGGGTTGTTAGTGAGTATTTTTTTTCCAAACATATTTGTTAGTGAGCTGGGTTGTTAGTGAGTTGGGTTGTTAGTGAGAGTTGGGTTGTTAGTGAGTTAGTTGAAGGGTTGTTAGTGAGTATTTTTTTTCCAAACATATTTTTTTCCAAAGGGTTGTGAGTGAGTTGTTAGTGAGGTTGTTTGTTAGTGAGTTGGGTTGTTAGTGAGGTTGTTAGTGAGTTGGGTTGTTAGTGAGTTAGTGAAGGGTTGTTAGTGAGTATTTTTTTTTCCAAACATATGTTTTTTCCAAAGGGTTGTTAGTGAGTATTGTTAGTATTTTTTTTCCAAACATATTTCAGACGTTGCTGTAGAAATTGTGTAGGCCAGCATACTTCTCTCCTTATTAACAGCCTGCCAAAATGTTATAATCATTCAAAGTGCTGAGTTAAGGCCAGGCATGGTGGCTCACACCTGTACTCCCAGCACTTTGAGAGGCTGAGGCTGGCAGATCACTTGAGGCCAGGAGTTCAAGACCAGCCTGGCCAACATGGTGAATCCCCGTCACTACTAAAATTACAAAAATTATCTGGGCGTGGTGGCATATGTCTGTAATACCAGCTAGTCAGGTGGCTGAAGCATGAGAATCTCTTGAACCCAAAGGCAAAGGTTTCAGTGAGCTGAGATCACGCCACTGCACTCCAGCCTGGGCAGCAGAGTAAGACTCTGTCTCAAAAAAAAAAAAAGATGCTGCGTTAAGAGAGAGAATCAAATTCTTGTATTTGTGGAACCACATTATGTGATGAGCCAGGCACGCATGATCTTCATTTAATCCTCATTAAGCTAAGTGAAGGTAGCACTCTGTCTTTATGTTTGAGGGAACTGAAGTTCAGAGCAGTTGAGTAATTTGCTCAAGATCACACAGCTAATGTGCAGTGGAAATGTCATTGAACCCTGAATATCAGATTACAAAGCCCATGATCTCTCTATTACACCCCACACCTCTGCCAAATACAGCTATCCCTGAACATCTGAATCACTCTGGAATTTTCCAAAAAATGCAAATATCCTGACTGCAGTCTCCCATTCTTGGGGAGAGGAGGCAAGACTGTCTCTTTCTGGGTATTTTTTCTTTCATTAAAAAAAAAAAGAAAAAAAAAAACAACTTAAAAATCAAGGCTTTCCACTCTCCCTAGTCTTCCAAATCTTTCTCGTCTTCATACTTTCTCAAATATACCTGATGGGAAAAATGCGTTTAAATGCAAGAAAATTAACTATTAATATTCCTTCCATCTATTATCAAACACTGTTAACATTTTGACATATCACTTTCATTTTTTCCTGTATGATTACAGTTTCAAAAACTACAAATTAACATATTGTTTCTTAAGAAAAAAAAAATTAGAAGATAAAGCTACAGTCTTTTCTGATCTTCCCTCTATCCTGATCATTCTACAAACTTTCTAGCCAAGGCAACGTAATTACGAGTGTAGCATATTTCCTTCCATTCCTTTGGAAAAGTATGTTGATATTGACCAGTGTCATGCTGTGCACGTTGGTATGCAACCTCTTTCAGTAAGCACAATGGAGCAGCCAAGAGGATGGAGCCCATGGATGCAGGGCTGAGGTTTGGAGAGAATCACTTGACTTCTCTGTGCTTCAGTTCCTCATCTGTAAAATGGAAATAATAGTCTTGTCTGCTATTACATGACTTAATGCATGTAAAACCCTCAGAATATTTATTAACTGTTAAGTAAGAATTACTATGTATATATTTTGTGAATGAAACATTTAAAAAATGTACACACAGATAGATCAGGTTCATAACTTTTAACTTCAGAAGTATGGTTCTTAATATATGGGTATCATATTTTATTTATCATCTCTCTATTTTTGGCATCCATACTGTTTTCTATTTTCTGTAGTCACAGACAAGTCTGTAGTATTTTGTTCAATTTTTTGGGTACATAATATGCAAAAATTTTTTTAGGGTAGATACTAGAAGTGGAATCTGGTCCTAGAATATGAACATTTTTAGTTTTAATCAAAACTATAAGTTTTTCTCCAAATGCCCTGTAGGAATTTATAATCCCACTGTTTCAACATGAGAATACTCATTTCTCTATACATTTAAGAATATATGCTTATTATTGCCTTTAATCTTGGACAATATAGTGAGTGAAATGTGGTAATTTGATTTTATTTTCATTTTCCTGATTATTAGTGAGATAGAGGTCATATTTTGTGACTTTTTAATTTTTCTTTTTGTAAATTGTGATTTGTCTACACATTGCATTTTTTGTTGCAAATGTGCCTTTTTGTTACTGATTTCTTGACATTTTATATAATCTTAATACTGTTATGTGTGTTACAAAGATTATCTCCCAGTCTTTCTTGTTTTACTTGGATTGATGGTATAATTTGTCATACTGAAATTTATTATTGTGATATAATCAACATTTTCTGTCCTTTTTTTAAATGTGCTTTGGATTTTTGTTTGTTCTTGAAGTTTTTTTTAAACTCCACTGGTGACTTTGATGCCCAGTCAGGAATAAGAACCACTATTCTAAGCTATTGCTGGGAAAGGGGTTCTTATCACTTCACATGAATTAAGTCATATTTAATACTCATGATAGTGCTACGGGGAGTCAGAAATGCCATACCCATTTTAGAGAGGATAAAAATAAAGCTCAGAGACTCAGTAGCTTGTCTAAGGTAGACGAGGTGGTAGGACTTCGGAAATTGACCCAGGTCTATTATTCTATATTTTTTCAATATTTTTTTTAATCAGAGAAAAACCAATTGCTTATATTGGGGCTTATATTTTTTTTAATCAGAGAAAAACCAATTGCTATGGGAAAGCAAAATTACACCGCAGTTATTTTGCATATCTCATTATAAAGAGAATGATTTTTATACTGGGAATGTTGAAACAAAATGTCGAGAGCCAAGAAAAGCATGGCTGGTAGGTCTTAGGACTCTGCTCTTGGACTAGTGACTTCATTCCATCACCTATCTGTTACTTACAAAGGGTGAATCAGGGAGCTACCTGGGCCAAGGTATTATGAGGAGTCAAGAGATCACTATTTGCCCATAGATGAATTCATATCTTTGGTTCTAAATAATATAGTAGCCCTATGTTGTGATATAGGGTAGAAGGAATATAGGCTTGATACTGAACATCTAAATCCCAGATCTGCCAGTGATTAACTTATGGGTTACGCTATGCCTGGTGTGACTCTGAGGCCACAGAACATGCTCACACAACTTTTATTCCTTTACCCCTTCCACATGTGATGTATGAACCCCATCAGTAATCTTTGAGAAAAGCTGAAGATGAGAAAGATTTTAGAAGACTAAGAAAAGTAGAAAGTCTTGATTTTTAAAAATTTTTTTAATGAAAATCTAGAATGAATGACTTGTATTGTTTGTGCACACTTACAGAAAAATGGCAATGACCAATAATAGCTAGGGTTGAGCCATTCACCAGAAGAAAAGTAGCGTGGCAGAACAGGGGGACTGTGGTGCACATAGTGTACTCATGTATTCCTATCTCTCCCAACATCTCTGTGAATGAGGTGTAGAAGCAAGCCATAGATGAAAATATGGACAAGATCTTTAAGATGTGCAGTTTACATTTGTGGACGCTATAAAATGAAATGAAATGAAATAAGCGGCAAAACAAATGAAACAATCTGGACTGCACTTTAGAGCAGTGTTTCCTAAGTCATATTCTGCCAAAATCTGCATGATAGTAGAGGTTTTATCAGAAAAGAATTCCAAGGTCGTTATATCTGAAAAATTCCACATCTAGGTTTTAGAGAGCCATAGTGTACAGGAATTTATTAAAGACTGAGAAGTTCTGCAGAGAGGAAGCCTGTTCAATGTAATCTCACTCAGCATTTCCTATATGTATGGAACCTTGTTTAGGGAAGATCTGTTAATACCTTCCAGGCACTAGTGTTCCACTAAACTTATGCTGTTTTAGAGTTATGAACTTCAAACTATCAGCGATGACCTAGGTTTGGGGTCCTGAGGGATGGAATAGCATTGGGGTTAAGAGTATACCATCTAGAGTCAAACTGTTTGGATTTGGAACCCAGTCGTACAACCTGTGAGCTTGATGACCTCGGGAAAGTTATTTAACTTCTTAGTGGCTAGGTTTCCTTATTCTACAAATTAAGATAAGGAGTGGAAGTTCTAGTGAATTGGGGCCAAGTGATTAGGAATATACCAAAACCCCTATCTGCTAACCTAAAAACATCCCACTGACCTCAGTAGATTGTTCTAACTTTCAACTATTTATGCATTGATTTAAACATTTTCTGCAGTGCTCTATATTTTTAGCCTTACTAACTCATGTCCATGCCTTTTAGGAAAATAGTCTCCTGAGAGTCTTTCCTGTAAGTGGCTCAGTACAAAATGAGAAGCAGGCTCCTGGGGGAAGTACACTGTTCACCTTACTGTGTATTCTCTAGGGAAGGGAATAAGAAAACAAGCAGATATACAAAGCTCTGAGCTCCAAGGCCATCTCTGACATACATGGGTATGCTTAAAGACAGCATCATTCAATTGATGAAGATAAAGAGGCTCAGACTAGACAAGCTTCCAGGAGCTAGACACTTAGAGCCAAAAACTGCTTCAGAATTTAGCATCCATTTTTACAGTAGACAGTCTTTTTGGAAGCAAATGGGAAAGGCACATTATCTATTAGTCATATCCACTTTTTTGTGCCCTTCTTCTGCCTAGGGGATCCACTCCTCCCCCTCATCAGATATTCAATGATCGCATCAGATATTCGGTGATCAATGACCTCAGCAGATATTCAGTGATCTCTCATTTATGCACTTAATTAATATTTTCTGATTATCTACTTTGTCAGAGCCTATATAAACGTTGGGGACAATGGAATGAGCCAAATAGTCACCCTCCGTCCCTATAGAACTAATGGACTCCACATAAATGGGCAGTTACAATTGAGATGTAACAAGTGCTATGAGGAGCTCAAGGCTTTATGAGCACGCTTAATCCAGATGTGAGGCCAAGGAGGCCAGGGGAGGTTTCTTGGAGATGTCAAACTGAAACCTGAAGGAGTTGATAAGGAGAAGGAAGAAGTAAATTCTAGAATGAAGGAACAACTGATTTAGGGGAAGAGAGAACAAAACGTGGTCAGGTCACAGAATCCGCAAAAGCTTTCCCACTTGTGAACCGCAGCATTCCGGGGACAGAGAGGACATCTATGCAGGTACATGATGTTTGTTACTCTCATATTTGGATTTTAAAGACCTATCTGTGACCCCTGGGCCTGGTGAGCAGGACTGGAGCAAAAGTGAATCACGAGGTGGCTTTTACCCTCCGGTGTTGGGTACAGAGAAGCCAAGAGCAGTAAAATGTTTACCAAGAACATGTTTTTCTTCAATCAAAATAAGAAGTTTTGAGTTTCACTGGAGAAAAAAAAATGTTCTTATAGCACAGATGACATTTTTATTTTATTCAAACCACAAAATATAGATAATGATATAAAGAACAGCCATGGAACTCAATTCCTACTTAAGAAATAAAATGCTGCAGAGATAACTGAAAGTCCTGGGTAACCCCCTCCCGGTACATTCCTTCCTCAGGGGCAATTATTAATTAGAATTTAGTATGGATTATCCCCACACATCTTTAAAAACTTTTGTTATATATGGATATCCATTAGTGATACATGGCATAGATTTGCAAGCTTCTCAATTAGCAATAATTGAGCCTCAGATAAACCTCACTGGTTACAATACTGCCACTGTGCAAAGTTTTGCAAGCTTCATAATATTGGAATCATATTGTACCTCTCCTTCTGCAATTTTGTGTTTTGGGGAGAGGGTGGTAAACACTAGTTTTGAGATTAGACTGATTTGCATGTATCTATCCATATCTGTGTCTATAGATCTAGACAGTAGATATCTACATCTACTATATGTGTTTTCACCTATCTATATATATCAATATATGGAACTCTATCTATATCTAAATAGATATAGATAGGTATAAACACACACGTATCTATATAGAGACAGAGAGAGAGAAAAAATGAAAGAAGAATTGTGTTATGTGTGTATATATATGAAGGAGCAAGAACTGTAGAGAGACATACATATATGGGTATCTATCACCTATCTATCTGTCTATCTATCTATCTATCTATCTATCTCTACAGTTCTTGCTCTTTCGTTTTCTCTTCTCTACATTCCACTGAGTGATTATACTCTATCCATTTTCTGTTGGTGAATATTTAGGTTGTTTCCATTGTTCATACAAGCAGTTTTCACTGAACATTTTATACAGGACTGATGACTTTATTTATTTAGTATCAGATTTTCAAATGGAAAGCTGGCACTGTGTTTTTAGCTGCTAAACAGTTCATATCTGGGCATACTTAAGAAATCGCAACACAAAGCTTGCATTTAAGCTTTCGTTAAAAGTTAGATCTTATACTGGAAGAATCTAGACAGAGGCTGTGGTCCATGGATACCATGAGTTGTGATTATTGTTCATTGACAGCCTATACTGAAATAGTCCACAAGGTTTTTGTTGTTGTTTTTTACAGAGTCTTACTCTGTCACCAGGCTGGAGTGCAGTGACGTGATCTTGGCTCCCCTCAACCTCTGCCTCCCTGGTTCAAGAGATTCTCATGCCTTAGCCTCCTAAGTAGCTGGGATTACAGATGCCTACCACCATGCCGGCTAATTTTTGTATTTTTAGTAGAGACGGGGTCTCACCATGTTGGCCAGGCTGATCTCGAACCCCTGATCTCAGGTGATCCACCTGCTTCGGCCTCCCAAAGTGCTGGGATTGCAGGTGTGAGCCACCGTGCCCAGCCTACAAGGTCTTTTTGATCCAGAATATCTTACCAATTTGGTGGTATAGGAAAAGAAACACCAAAAAATGAGTTATTTTCCCTAAAGGCGTGAACAGAGCCAGATTAAGCTGCTACCCTGGCTCTCTCCAGCAAAGAGTCTCCTCTGAGTTAGGCAGCCCCTACTACCTGGAAGGGGGAGTGGGGGAAGAAATAATCTCATAAAGAGGGAGATGACTGAAAGAAAAAAGGTCCAAAGAATCACACAAGAGACATGTCAAGAGGATGCAAGAATGAGATCCCAAAAGATGGTCTTTGGGGTGAGAGCCCCATGGAAGGTCCAGCTTGAACCTCTCCAAGATCTCCTCCTCCAGACCAGAGTGGGGGATAATCTTAAGCTCCCTGTAGAATATAATTGTGCTGCTCATACTTTCTTGAGTGTTTCTGGTTTCCTGTAAATGACAGTGGGTTTAATTCCCATATTCTTGGTCAATTGGGGCATTCTTGGCCCTCCCAGAAGAGGAAATCAGTGAAACGTGTAAGAATTTACATCAATATATCCTCCCGACTTCTTCTCCAACCTTTGTAACTGCCATATCTCATCCCCAAATATTGTTGTTGCCACCAGAGAGTTCCTGTCCTGTCCCACTACTGTTTATTCTTAAAACAACTGCCAGAATGCATCTTGTAAAACATGAGTTAAATGATATCTCTCTCCTGCCTAATTACTTCCCATAGCTTCTTATATCACTCAGAGTGAAAAACCAAGCAAAGTTCAGATAATGGCCAACGTGGCCTTCCATGATCTATTCCTGGTAACCTCTCTGCCTGGTGTCTTCATATCCCCACTTCCTGCTCACTCTGCCACAGTCACACAGCCTCCTTGTTGGTCTTCCCTCACATTGTGCATTCTCTTACTCCAGGACCCTTGCATTGGCTGTTCTCTCACATTTTTCTCCCTCACTGATTTTAGCTTCATGCTTAAATGTTACCTGTTTATTTTTTGATGACTTCCTGACTGCATTGTTTAAAATAGCACCTCTATGCACAATGGTGTAGCCAGTCCCACTTTCCTGCTTCGTCTTTCTCCATGGTGCCTACTACCATCTGAAGACTGTAAATATGTAAATATTTTACATATTTACTGTAGCTCCTGTTTGTCTCCTCCTTTGAGAACATAAAGCTCCACAAGGGCAGAGTTTTTTTTTCTTTCTGCTTTTCTTACTGTTACACCTCAGTACCTAGAACAGGGGTTAACACAAAAAATGAATTATTGAACATTCCTGTCTATTTACCTAAGACCAGTGATTTAGAGCATTTTTTGTAAATGTCTTTGTTGTTGTCCACAATAACCTCTGAAATAGACCAGGACATAACTTCATCTAAGTTTACTTCAAGACAACAGCACATAGTGGTTCAAGAAGCTCTCCCTTGCCAGTCTGGTCTCATCTCAAAAGATGATCAGACTTTCCTTCTTTTTGAAGTGTGCTTTCAAAAAAAAAAAAAAAAAAAAAAAAAAAAAAAAAAAAAAAAAAAAAAAAAAAAAAAAAAAAAAAGCTGAGAAAAATAGAAAAATTTAGGGCAAAACAAATATGAAAGGATAAAATGACACCTAAAATGTAATGTACTCCATCTTTCAGAGCAATGTGTATCTATACCAAGTTGAGGAGGCAGAGTATAAGGAGTACCTACTGAGTATCTATTAATGAAGACAAAAATTGTTAGGTTAAAATTCTCATTAAGCTGCCAGGTAATATTATCATCTTTATTTTAAACACATAATACCAGTTTCAGAATGGTCAATTAATGTATCCAAAGGTAGTGAATAGCAGAACCAGAATTTGAACTCTGATTAGTTCCAAAGCCTACATACTTTGCAAGATACCATTCTCCCTTTCAAGGAATAAAATAGAGCAGGAGGAGAATACAGGGCCCTCAATTTGGGGTCAAAAGAAGATCCAAGAAGGCAAGCCAACTTTTCACCATTATGAACTCTGTTTCTATAGTTTTATTTCCTTGTGATCAATCCCTCTTTACAAAGATTTTCTTAAAGGATAGGAGAAGAAAGGGGTTTCTGGTGAATCCTTAGAAAAATTGGCAGTTCAGCCAGGCACAGTGGTTCATGCCTGTAATCCCAGCACTTTGGGAGGCTGAGGCAGGCGGATCACCTGAGGTCAGGAGTTCAAGACTAGTCTGACCAACATGGTGAAACCTTGTCTCTACTAAAAAAACCAAAAAAAAAAAAAAAGAAATTAGTTGGACATGGTGGCTCATGCCTGGAATCCTAGTTACTATGGAGGCTGAGGCAGGAAAACCACTTGAACCAAGGAGGAAGAGGTTGTGGTGAGTTGAAATCGTGCCATTGCAACTCCAGCCTGGGCGACAGAGTAAGACTCTGTCTCAAAAAAAAAAAAAAAAAGAAAAAGAAAGAAAAATTGGCCCCACACCTTCTATTGGAGTCCTCATTAAGCAAGGCTTTATGCTGCTATCGTTTATACATAAATCAAACATTAGACAAATCACGTTTTTGAAAAGTGTAAGCCTTCATTGACTTCCCCTAGACGTCCACTTGGAGTAGTATCAAGAGTGCTTTCTTTATCCATCGACAAAGATGTGATGAGTGTATATGGGTCCGTTTGTAAATCTTCACAGGCCTCTTGTTGAAAAGTAAAATTCATTTGTTAAAACTATAATCCTAAGCAGGCTTGGAAATTAAGTTTTGAGGCTTTCTTAGCAATCAAAATTATTGGTTTCTGAGGATCCACACTAGTAAATTAGAAAGATGCCAATAAGGAGATTACATGCCAAACTGGAGGGTTATTTATTAACAAACTGATTCAAATGGGTAGGAAATGATTTAAACAATTCAGCTATATGTTCAGTGTGTAATTAACCAGAAACTTCACTCATCACCCCCCATTTGTTAGCCTAGGCATAATTTTTTAAACATATTTTCATAATTACTTACCTATATCTATCATAAATATTTACCCTTATGGTTATCATTATAACCATTTAACAAATAAATTTAATTTTTCATTATAAAAGTAATAAATGTTTTTAGGAAAGTTGAACTATGATCTTTGAAAAGAGAAAGAAGGAAACAAAATCACCCCTAAGCCCCTCATCTGTAGACCAGCACTACGATCATGTCTTGGAGTGCTTAATGGCACGTTTTTAGTGCACGTTATTGTTTTTGTTACTCACTTTTTAATGATTGCCTAATCTTCCATTGTGTGATCATACCATAGTCCACTTAATCATTCCCCTATTATGGGAGTTTAGTTAGCTTAGAAGCTTTGGTGAAATGTTTTGTGAAGTTTCTTATAAGTTAAATTTCTAGCACTAGAAAAACTGAGTCGTGAAACATAAATTGTTTTATTGTTATCCTCAAAGCTGGAAGCCCCTCTGTAAAAGTGGATGCTTCCAGGGGTGGGGTATGGGTAATGAGCTCTATATCCTATGGTCTGCTTCCGAGCACTTCTTCCCTTCTCCCCCCCTTTCCCAAACTTTCCCACAAATAAGCATGCCAGTGATGTGTCCATTCTTGGTTCTTGGATTTGCTGTGCTCTCAGCTCTACATAAGGCAGGGATTGGTTATGTCTTCTTTTGAAGTTTCATCTTAGGTAAACAGTAGGTGGAACCTAACCATTCTCTTTCTTCCTGAGCCAAGGACGATGACATTGCTCTTTGCTTTGTTTAACAAATAATCTCTGTTTGCCAGAGAAAGCTTCAGACCTACCACTGTCTCTCTGGCATTCCCTCCCCACTATTCTCTCTGTCCCCAGTTGGGGCCCTTCTGTGGGTTTCCCTAGCCTCAGCCCTCAGGGGTGTGTTCTCTACAGTTGGAGCCATAAATAATGGCTGCAATGTGAGCCTGTTTGTGGTTACTTATTGTATTTACTATACACAGAGGTTTTAATTATTTGTGTTTGACATAATTATAATAATAGTAATAATAATAATAAAAGTTGACATTTGTGGAGTGCTCGCTGTATGTACACCTGACAGGAAAGACAGTGGGGGTAGAAAACTAATGACTCTGAGATTAGAAAAAAAATGGGCCTCACTCTCCCACTACTTACGGCAAAGCACCTTCATCTCTGATTTTATTTTTTATGTCTCCCTTAACCTTTTCAAAGGATTGTTGGGATGGTACAGAAAAGAATTCTATACTGTAAAGTGTTACTTGTATGAAAAGGTATCACTACCTTTCTTCAACCTTATACCATTAATAATCAAGGCAAAAGATACACCTCTTCGGCCGGGTGCGGTGGCTCAAGCCTGTAATCCCAGCACTTTGGGAGGCCGAGGCGGGTGGATCACGAGGTCAAGAGATCGAGACCATCCTGGTCAACATGGTGAAACCCCGTCTCTACTAAAAAT